AGACAACTCGGATTGCCTTCCCAAGGTCATGCAGCAGAGCAGGGACAGAGCCAGGGTCGCAGAGTGGGTTTCCCGACTCCTGACCCTCATACCTGCTTCCACCCCCTCCTCTCAAGGCCCAGGAAAGCCAGCCTCGGTGGCAGACACGCCATCCGGCAGCTGCTCCCCTCACCACCAGCCAAGGGCTACGGAGAACTCACAGGATTGAGGAGCACGGTGAGAAAGAGCTCGCCCCCGTTGATGATCTTGTCCAGCTCGCTGGAGCCACCAGGGTACTCATTGTAGAAGATGGTGTGCGTGAAGAGGCCGCAGGTCTGCCGCGGGAGGACCTGGGATGGGGAAGGGGAGAGCTATGGCATCTCCAGGCATGGATGGCGGAACGGCCAGGTGTCTCCTCAGAAAAGGCAGCGTCTTGTGTGGCCACACAGCCCCCACTCTTGGGGGTCTTCTCCCCCAAAGGCCACGGGCCTGTGCCATTTTACACACTTCATGCTATTCTCCGTTAACAAAATGAGCAGACCCAAAAGTAACGGAGACAGGCGAGTGAGAACGTCTGTCCAGAGAGGGTCCCCTTCCGGTCACACCTGCAACCCCCCTCAAGAGCACTAGAACCTGCCTGGGAGTGTGCCCTGCCCCGCACTGGTTTCACTGCTGAGTCTCTGTCTCCTCTCATGAAACTGGACTCCAAGGGAGGAGGAAACTCGCCTGTCAGGTGGTCACCACCTCATCCCCAGAGAAAATATGAATGCCTGGTATCCAGAGGTCAGTGAATGGATGGATGGATGGATGGATGGATGGATGGATAGATGGATAAACGGACGGACAGATGGAAGCATGAATCTGGCCTTCCCACATATGCCCCATCTGGACTGTTGACAATTCAGCTTTCCAGCGTCTAGGGCCAAAAACCCCGGAGTCATCCTTGACGCATCTCTCCCTCCCACATCTTACATCCAACCCATTAGCAGATCCTGTTGGCTCTGACTTTCCAAATAAGTCCAGAATCTGATTGCATCCTGACTTTGCACCCTGGTCCGAGCCACCACTATCTCATCTGGAAGACTGCAGTGGTCCCCAAGTGTCTCCCTGCTTTCCACTTTGTCCCCTGAAGTCTCTGCAACTCACAGGGACCAGAACAATGGAAATCTTTTTAAAACAGGAGTCTGATCATAACAGCGCCCCATGCAAACCTTCCCATCTCAGAAAAAAAGCTAATGTCCATCCAATGGCCTTATGTGGCCCTACACAATCGGGCCCATCACCTCTCCGACCTTATCTCCCCCTCACTTGTTCCCCTCCAGCCATACTGGCCTCCTAGTTGGTCCTCAAATACACCCAGCAGAAGCCACCCCAGGGCCTTTGCACGTTTTTCTCTCCCTTGAATGCTTTTCTTCATATGGCAGCATGGCTCACTCCTAGGAGGGCCCTCCCTAGTCACTTTATTTCAATTAGCTTCTCCTCTCCTCTGGCACTCCCTATCTCTCTTCCCTGCTTGGCTCTTCTCCATGGCCCCATCACCATCTGACCATACATTACCCGTGTTACACACTTATGAGCACACTGTCTACCTCCTGCCACTAGAATGTCAGGTCTACAAGGGCAGGGACTTTTGTTGGCTTTGTACACTTCTGCATCCCCAGTGCCTAGAAAAGGGACAGAGACAGAAGAGTTCATGAAAAATGTTTAAATGAGCAAACGAATGAGGGG